CGGGAGTTCGGGTGATCCGTTTCCCGGGTCCAACGGTGGAGAGGGTGGCTGTCCACTTGGTTTGGATGGCGGGAGTTCGGACGATCCGTTCTCCGGGTCCAACGGTGGAGAAGGTGGCTGTCCACTTGGTCCGGACAACGGGGATTTGGGTGATCCATTTTGACCGAAAGACAGTAGTTCGGGTGATTCATTGTTTAGACCGATTGGTCCAAGTTCCGGCTGTCCAGCTAAACCGGACGGCGGAAGCGTCGTAGACCGTCCCATCATACGGGGAGACGGGAGTTCAGTTGATTCGTTCGGACCATAAACCGAATATTCGGTTGGTTCCGTCGGCTCAGGTGATTGCGAATCCGGTGGTCCCGTTGGGTCGTACGACGACGGTCCGTTTTCGCCGTCATCAGCCGTATCCTCAAACTTGTAACCAACGATGTTTTGTTTGTTTAGACGGGACTTTCGACGACGTTCATCCTCGAATTGCTGCAGCGCGTTGTGACGGTAAACGCCGAAGCCGATGCCGGCGATTAGCATGCACCATCGACTTAATCGGATCAATGGTGACACGTTCACCGGGCACGCGAACTGTCTGACCATACTTAAATGGTTATATTTATTCACTTGGAAGTAGACGATTTTCGTTTGACTTGAGTGGTTCGACGGACAGTATGTTAGAGTGGTTAATACTCGGGGAGGGGAGGGGTACAATGCACTGTGTGCGTAGAAATTAGAAACACCTAATGAATTTGTGTACCGCCGATGCGACGGTGAAAATACCAAACGGTATGCGTATACCTGCACAGTACCAGGTTTATACCTGCAAGCAGAACAGATGATTGGAGGAGCTTCAACATTTAAGGGGCGGTAAATCTAAGTGCCGTAGGTCAGGGGTCGGAAACCTTTTCGTAGGAAAGAGCCATTTTTTAAAAGTTACAAAAACATGCTGTCCAGAGAGTCATAAAAATATTATCACCATAATAATGCATAATATAATTTATAATGTTTTACGGGTCTCGATATTGATACATTTTCCAAAGAGTCACAGGTTGCATATTAAGGAGCCGCAGGTTCCCGACCCCTACAGTTGGTGAATAATTAAAATCAAGAATAATGATGTATATACAGTACTTGATTTGGCAAAATTAAAGAAGGGGGACTCTGTTTGCTTAAAAAAAAAATTGCGTCCCCAAAAATTGTTAAACGTTATAATTATAATATATATACGTATATAACGTAGGGAGACGCTAAAATTTCTAAAAATTAGAAGGGGTACTCCGTCCCCCTGCGTCCCCCCCTCAAGTCGAGCACTGTGTATATAGAAATTTGAAATTTTCACAGTACTTATATACTAATATTATATCTCGTGATCTGGTATAATTTCCAAAATATATTGACTTTTTTTGTACTTTATTTATTATATATTTTATTTCATAAAATAACAATTTTAATTATATTAGTGCAGCGAAAAATGTTAACATACTGGTCAATGAAAAATAGGTAATTATTTCAAAATTATTTTTATAAGCATTTGAATTTTAAAATTAGACAAAACTGGACAAAAATCACGAAAATATGCCACACTTTTGCAACTAGAATCTCATAAAATTTTCAATTTTTATAATTAAAGCGTGACAAATGATTTTTCACATATTCTACTTGATATTTAATAAAAACACAGCTTACCTGAAAAATGTATGAAGAGACCCAAATCTTCTGCGTGTGGACGGCAACAATATCCGTTACTAACTTTATTAGGTATTTATAATTGTATAAAGATACCCGGTTGAAAAGCAAACTGGATGCAACTGGATCGGATAGACAACGAAACAGTAATGATTGGATAATAAATTGAACGCCGGATAATCGAATTGTCATAACGATCATCATAGCGACCATCAGTTGTTTACAAGCATCGATAATAATACGAGCTAAAAACATATTTTTTTATTTTTTCCCGCAGATGGCCCTAGTACCTACTTATCAGGCGTGTAGCTAGATATTTCAAAGGGGGGTGTTATTTAAAATTATTCATAGCAAAATAATTACTTTACGTATACTGTATTATACAAGCGTAGAAACACATTAGTACATCACATATGAATATCTATTCATGTGTAAAGTACTATTGTATGAGAAAGTATTTAAATATTTTAATAAAATTACAGATGTACATTTTTGTAATTTGTACCTATTTTAAATTGTGCATGACACGACACAAAATCACGGCTTTGGTTTATTAGACATAACGGTGTAATGAGAAGCCGGATTGTTACATATAATATTACTATTGTTATGAATATATTCAGTGCTCGATTTGGCAAAATTAAAGAAGGGAGGGGGTCTCTATTTACTTTAAAAAAAAGAACGTCCCCAAAACTGGCTGAGCGTTATGATTATAGCGTAATAATATTAGGGGGACGCTAATATTTCTGAAAATTAGTTGGGGTACTCCGTCCCCTGCCTCCCCCTCAAGTCGAGCCCTGAAAATTCATCATAAACCGTAATGAAAACATATTTATCATAAGGCAATATATTATATATTATATATTATATATTGCCTTATGATAAATATGTTTTCATTACGGTTTATGATGAATTTTTACTTTTACAAGACTTCAGTATAACACGGTTAATGTGAGGGGGGGTGTTACTACACCTGTAACGCCCCCCCCCCCCCCGACTACGTGTCTGCTACTTATATTATGCGATATAGTATTATCTTTTAATAGTTACTAATATACTTATATCAAGGGTGCCCAATTTATTTTGGAAGCGGGCTATAATTGCAATTACATTTAGCTGGTGGGCCATGTTATGAACAAGATTTTCTTACACTTATAATTCATCTAAAATTCTATTTTCAATAGATACTTAATTAGATAGAACAAATAGGTATTTAAATTAAACAACATTTTAAATTTCACATGTTTTAATTTTTAATAATATTTAAAAAAAAACATCAGTGAGACCTATGAAGAGACTTATTAGCTAATAATTTTTCAATATCTGGTGATAAATCTGATGTTGATAACAACATCAAATCTGAAATATGAGGCGCAGTTAACGAACTACGATATTTATTTTTGACATAGGTTAGAGTAGAAAAAGCTTTTTCGCAAATATATGTTGATCCAAATCTGCTTGAAATCTGCAAGGCAAGATCACACGTTGCAGGAAAGTCTTCTTTTGGTACTAATTTCCAAAATTTTAATACATTTTCTGAAGACTGCAGTTGTGGTTGTGATGATACAATTTCGGTAAATATCTGCTTCAAGGAAACGTGGTTTTGAATTTCTGTGATTTCCAACTGGATATTGCATGAATATTTTTGTATTTCACTAAAAGTGATTGAAAATCGGTTCATGAAAAACAAAATATTATTTTTGTCCTTCTCAAAATCCTGAAATCTGTTCTCAAAAGACTGCAACAATAATTGAATTTGTGTTTGATATTTCGAGATGTCAGGTGAAGTATTTTCTAGTTTTCCTCTTATATCTACAAGCGTAGGAAAATGATCGATATTATTTCTAGTCAAATTTGTCAAAAAAAAGGGAGAGTTTCGCTTTAAATCCATAAACCAAATTGAACATTATTGGTAACGAACAGTCCTTCCCTTGCAGCTTCCAGTTAAGTATGTTGAGGTGCTGTGTAATATCTATTAAAAACGCAAGATCGCATAACCATGATTCACTTTCAAGTAAATCTCGCTCATCAGGCATTGCCTGCTTTTCTACTAAAAATTGCAAGACCTCTCTCCGCAAAAGAAAAAAATGTTTCAGCATTTCACCCTTAGATAACCAGCGGACAGCACAATACAAATGTAACTCACCGAATTCATTGATTTCTTCTTCAAATAAAACCCTGAATTGTCTTCGATGAAGAGCTTTGGCTCGGATATAATTAATACAGCGTACTACAGGATCAATAACATCATTAAACTTCATATCTTTGGCACATAAAGCTTCCTGATGGATGATACAATGATATGAAAATAATTCCCGGCCTAAGAACTGTTTTAACAAGGCCACACAACCATTTATTTTTCCCGTCATAGCGGGTGCTCCATCAGTACAAACAGAATTAATTTTTTCCCATGCTATACCTTTTCTGTCGACACATTCCTTGATTTTCATAAATATGTCTCTTCCGGTACTTGTAGTTTCCAACTGGCTGAGCTCTAATAAATCTTGAAATACATTAAAATTTTCATCAACACACCTCACGAAGATGGCTAGCTGTGACATACTCGTCAAATCACAAGTTTCATCCAACGCCAATGAAAAATACTTACATTTCGTTACGGTTTGTGTTATTTGGTTGCTAATATCGTTTGACATCTCCTCTACTCGTCTTGTTACAGTATTTCTCGAAAGTGAAATACCGTCTGCTTTAGTTTTTATATTTTTATCATTACAGTTATTAGAAAAAATTGATAAAGCCTCTTTAATAATTTCCCCATCAGAAAAAAGGCTTTTTATTTTTGGCTAAAAGTAAAGATATCTCATATGATGTTTTTACCATAGATTCGAGTTCATCAAATTTTTTTACAAACAGATTCTGCTGACCAAATATTTCTTTTTTTTTCTTCTTTATAAACTCAGCTCTTAGAGAACTTCCTTCCGGGTAGTTTTTATTAATACTTGAATGATTTTGTTTAAAATGCCGTTCTAAATTATATTTTTTGGCGACGGCAATCGTAGTGGAGCAAATAAGACATATGGGCTTCAATGCTTTGCTTTCAGTAAAGCAATATTGCATCTCCCATTCTTCGTGAAATGTCCGAGAACGTTCTTTCAATTTCGACGTAATTGGTTTGCTGAGAGCCATTCTGGCTTAAAATTAACAAGTAAAAACACAGAATAAACGCAATTATTACAAAATAATTTAATATTTATTAAGTTGTACGTATTATTTTTACGACCGTAGCAAAAGGCGGGTGCGGAGCGACTGATTTTGGTCGCTGTTTGTACAATATTTCGAATAACAATTTATTATCTTAATTCGCCGATATACGACGACTACGTCGACGGACAATCAAGATAATCTATAAACATAAAAATAATACCGATTAACATCGCGACAAATGCGGGTTCGGGTAAAACGCATCCGGTCATCACAGGAAAACCCGATAACATTGCTGTGTGGAATGGTCCTAGTGCTAATTTGATACACACACGTATATAAAATAAAATATACAACAAAATTTAAACTTAAAAGAAATATTAATAATAATTTAAAATGTCATAGACTATAGAGTATAGATGTTGGCGGGCAAATCCAAAAGCGTTGACGGGCCACTTCGTGGCCCGCGGGCCTGGGTTTGGGCACCCTTGACTTATATGAACATTGAACGCTGAAATATATTTAAAATTAAAAATATTTTACCTATCAGTAAAGCCAAAAGTTGTTTTTCCTTTCAATTTATATTTCTGTATACGTACTTAAAATCAATCGAAAGCCGTTTAATTTTAGATTCAATGCGAACTATGTTAATTATACTCGATGAGATATCTCGTAAAATAGTACATTGTCAGTTTGTCTTACATTTTGACCGTTATTCACTAACTTACAACGAATCTTGATTTTAGAATACATATCATATTATTATTTACATCTTCCAATACAGTTTTATGTTTTTATTTTCAAAGTGTGAATTATTCCAGTTTATGTATTATCTATTGTATTATTATATAATATACATATGGTTTTTATAAGATTGTAAGTAGGTGGCTTATAATTATATGCGTTTTTAAGAGCTGGTTGTTGCTAATTTTACTTTATATTCTTCTCATACCTTGTATTTTACAATTATTCAATTCGCGTTTTATACGTTTAGGTGTATGACCTAACAATTTCTTTACGTATTTCATTTTCTTGATTCATTTCAGTTTACACGCACAATATATTGTTTCTTCGACCTTCAGGTAAAATCATTCTAAACAAAAACTTACGAATCGTGAACATAGATTGTTTTTATTCAATTATGATTCTAGTAAACAAAAATGTCTATTTTTTATAATAACAAAAATATAAAATTATAGTTTAATGTTAAAACGAAATATACTAATACAATATGTAAATAAAATAAAGTGTACATGGTCACTCTGGTGTTATGCCGAATTTTATCAATTTTTCACTGATGATGTGTTGATAACGGTTGTTAGGTACAACATTGCAAACTAGGTAAGTCTGGGCAGGTCGTCCTTCGAGGTTATTTGAAGTTCATTTTTGGGCGCTAATTTGACTGTCACTTTTTTAACGTTCAAATTCATTAACGTTAGTCACTTATTACATGATATGTCATCTGGATCAAATTCCATCATGAACAACGTGCGTCTACTAAGAAACTTGAACAGAAACGCAGTGAGAACAGTAACTACGAGATGTCCAATCAAAGTTGTACAATTATATAGGTAGATGATTGATTTTTTTCCGTTTTTAAATTGTTTTATGAATATGAACTTGGTCGTTGTTTTTCAGGTGTCAAAATTCCATACATTGGCGCTCGGGTAAACGTCCGTATATAAAAAATGTTGGCTATCGTTTTTATGCCACAGATTTCCCTAGTCATGTTAAAGTTTCATTGCCAGCTCTGTCTCCAACAATGGAAAGTGGCACTTTAATAAGCTGGGCAAAAAAAGAAGGTATATATTATTGTTGTTTATGCCTTGAAAAACATAGAACTTAATTTACTGTAAATGCTCTCTAGGAGAAAAATTGAATGAAGGAGATAAACTAGCTGAAATTGAAACAGATAAAGCTATAATGGATTTTGAAACTCCTGAGGAAGGATATCTAGCTAAGATTCTTGTAAATGCTGGTCAAAAAGATGTTACTGTTGGAAAGGTACATAATATGTTCTTGTTTATTTTTAATTTATATAAATTTTTTGTATCATATTGACATGTGGTCATTTTTAAATTTGCAAAAATTAAATGACCTTGCACTTGTAAGGGTCACTTAAAGAAGTTGTTAAATCAGATCTTAAAAAATAATATTAACTATTTTTTTATTTTATTTTTTATTAATACAATTTATAATGCATATTGTTTGCAAAAAAAAAGAAAATGGGGTATAATAATTACAAATACCATGAAAAATATTAAAAACCATCCTGTGATAAAACCTTCTGTAATAGGAGTATATTTTTTAATTTCTTTTATATATAAATACTCATTACATCTTTTAGTTGATTAACAATTTAAAATACTGGTAAAATACTTGGAATATATTTCATTTTATTAATTTTGTAATATAATAATAAAATGAAAATGCATTAATATAAAATACAAAGTAGTTATAATAAATTTAAGTACTTTGTAATATAAATGACAATAGAATAATAGTAAAAAGTGAAAATTATTAATGGACACATTTCATGTATTTGATAACTGTAAAATAATTCAAGTATAAATTAAACTTAAAGCTAAGCTAAGTAAACATTTTGCTTAAAAATATTTCGTGACATGAAAAAAAAATCTACATGGTCAGCAACAAGGTTTGTAAATTATAAGGTTCTAGGGAAAAATAATGCAGAACTATAGTTATTTTTAGAAAAAAGAAAATAAAAAAATAAAATTTTCTCAAACTGCAGTTTGGAATATTAAAATGGATTATTGATAGTAATTCCAGTAAAAAATCATTTAATAAATTGTATAATAATATAACATCAGCAACCTTTCTCCTTGATTCGCAAGATGTAAATCCATGCTCAGAATTTTGAAAACTATGTCTCTCGAAATCGGTATATATAATTTATAACATAATAACTTAAAAAATGTATACTGTACATTTTCAATAGTGTTTTTAAATGAGGAATAATTGGGTGATCAGATATTCGATCCAAATTCAAGTTGAAATTTGACAAGAGAAAAATATAATGTTTTAAATTAATTAATATTTTTAACATGAATCATATTTCTATTAATGAGTTCTAACATTTTGAATGCTTTTTTTAATTGAACTATTAATGTGTAAAGAAAAAGATAAATTATATTAAAAAATGATCCCTAGGTCTCTTATAGAAGTAACACGAGTGATACTACAATCATTATTTATTTATTATATTATTATTGTGGTTGGAAAAACTTAATATGATATTGGTTATCTTAAGTATTGCTAAGTTTAAATTATTGATTTGAAATCAGTTATTTAATGATAATTTTGAGTTAAATATTACCTACCTAGAAAAGTAACAAACATAATGAGGTATTTCTATAAAGAGTTACAAATGTTAGAACATTTTGGTTTTCAGCTTGTATGTATTATAGTAGAAAACGAATCAGATGTTGCTGCTTTTAAAGATTATGTTGATGATACACCAGCAAGTGCACCAGCTCCAGCACCACCATCACCAAAGCCAGTTGCTACTGCAACTGCTCCGCCTCCTCCTAAACCTGCAGCCACAACAGCTGCAACAATACCCAAATCAGTACCAATCAAAATAGGTTCTCGTATACTCGCTAGTCCTTTAGCCAAACGTTTGGCAGCCGAAAAAGGGTTGGATTTAAGTGTAAGAACAACTAAATAAATTTTAATTAAATTATATACTTATTACCATAACTTTCCATTAACAATAAAATGTATAATTAGTCAATCACCCAAGGTTCTGGTTTATTTGGTTCAATTAAATCAATCGACTTAAATAAAGCTGCAGCAAGTGGTCAGAAAACAGCTGTTATTGTAGGAACTCGAGGTGATGGATTCACTGATAAGCCAGTGACAAATGTTAGAAAGATCATTGCTCAACGTCTGCTTGAATCCAAACAAGTAAAATTAAATGTTTGTTTTTTCTATCATCTAAGTTAAACTAATTTATGTTATTTAATTCTAGAATATACCTCATTATTATCTCACTGTTGATTTGAGTCTGGATGATATTGTGTCATTAAGAAAACGTATGAATGAGCTTTTGGAAAAAGAAGGAGTTAAATTATCCATCAATGATTTCATAATTAAAGCTTCGGCTTTAGCTTGTAAAAAAGTTCCAGAAGCCAATTCTTCCTGGATGGATAGTTTCATTCGACAGTGAGCTAAGCAATTTTATTAACATTGATTGTCTATACTAACTTGAATTACGTTCTTGTGTTTCAGATATGATGCGGTTGATGTAAGTGTAGCTGTAAGTACTGAGACTGGACTTATCACACCAATTGTATTTAATGCTGATACTAAAGGATTAGTAGCAATAAGCACTGATGTTAAAGAACTTGCTGCTAAAGCTAGAGAAGGAAAATTACAGCCTCATGAATATCAAGTAATTTTAAATATTAGATTAATCAACATTTTTTGTATTAACAATGTTTTTATTATCTCAGGGAGGTACATTTAGTGTTTCGAATTTGGGAATGTTTGGTGTAAAAAGCGTATCATCTATAATAAATCCACCTCAATCATGCATACTCGGTATTGGTTCTATGAATCAACGATTAGTACCTGATAAAACAAATGGAACCCGTGCGCAAAATACATTACAAGTTACATTGAGTTGTGATCATAGAGTTGTTGATGGTGCTGTAGGAGCTCAATGGTTACAAGCATTTAGACGATATATAGAAGAACCGCATAATATGTTACTATAATACTGACTCTTTTCTCTTGGAGCAATTCAGTCATAAAATGCTTTCCGTAATATTATTTTGTTTTTTTTTTTTTTGTTATTTATTATTAATAGTTTAATTGTTAAACTGATCAGTATACTTTAAACCTGATTTTAAAATGCACGTAAGTTGTTTAAATTCAATTTAGAGTATGTTATTACTGCGAATCTTATGAATTATTATAAAGGAAAACATGTGAACAAAGAAAACACAAATAATGATGTTTATGGATATAAATTTGTAATTGATTAATTTTTGTTTACAAAGCACTACCAAATGGTACTTGTCTCCAGTTCAATTGACCTAAAAAAAAAAAAAAAATTAGACATGACAAAAAATATATATAAACAAGCAAGTTAATATATTGAAGTAATTATTTGTTTTTAATAGATATTTTCTAATCACACAGACTATTAATACCGTGTGTTCAATTTTAAAGGTAACAAGAAATATTTCAAACGCAAGACCTTGAATTTAATTCGGGTTTTCTATACAGGGTACAACACTTATCTGCGCATACGCAGATAAAATAAAAATTTCTTAAATAGGAACCATCATTTTTAACACTGGATTTGGTTTGCTCTATTTTTTTGAGCAACTTTGATCTTTACAGATTTTTGATATGTTCAAAATTGACATTTTTAAGACTGTCGAAAGTTTTAAATTAGGTAATTCGTATTTATCGCATATTTCAACACTACGCATCTTAATCAAGAATTTACAAATATTATTATAACAATTTATTTTTATTAAAAGTACAAGGTGTATTTATTATAACATTGAATTTATAAACAAATATCATAAGATAATAATAATTTATTGTCTAAGTAGTTCTATTTGTGTAGCTGCTATTATTTGATCTTTGGTGAGTTCATTACACGCAATGATTATTTTATTTTTCAAATCATCAAGATTAATAAGTGGATTTTCATAAACTACTGTTTTTAAATGTCCCCAAAAAAAATAATTCAATGGTGTTATATCAGGTGATCTAGCGAGCCATTGTACTGGACCATATGTATCCATCCATTTATTGCTAAAAGTTTGGTTAAGGTATTCTCGAACAATAATTGCATTATGAGCGGGAACATCTTGTTGGAAAATGCTTTGAAATATGCGATAAATACGAATTATCTAATTTAAAATTTTCGACCGTCTTAAAAATGTCAATTTTGAACATATCAAAAAACTGTAAACATCAAAGTTGCTTAAAAAAAATAGAGCAAACCAAATCCAGTGTTAAAAATAGTGGTTCCTGTTTAAGATATTTTTATTTTACTGCGCATGCGCAGATAAAAAAAAAGTTAAAAATTAGAATTTATCAAAAAAATATGTATTTATAAGTCCTGTACCCTGTAAAAAAAACCTGAATTAAATTCAAGTCTTGTGTTCAAAATATTTCCTGTTACCTTTAAAATTGAACACAAGGTATATAATAACTATTAAAAATATATACATTTATATATTACATCAAGTAGTGATGAAGTCAATTTTTTCTTATATAGGAATTATTGAAATCTAGTTAACTTTTTTTTGGAACCAGGTTCAAGGTGTGTAAAAATATATAAATATAAAATTTTATCATTTAGGTGAAAAATTATTAAAATTTTATTATTTTACAGTGACAAACCAAACATATAATTTATAAAGTTCAATGTTATACTTAATATATAGTTATTTCAATATTTATGTTTAATATAGTATCTTGGTATAACTTTTTAGTGCACATTTAAAAAACACTCATATTATTCAAGTATTAAAAAGCAGGGTTAATATATTCAAAAATATATTAATTAAAAAAAAAAAATGATTTAAATATTGACTCACCAAAAGCTAAAGACCACTGAGATTGATTTTCATTTTTAGTATTTTTAATTAAATCGTCGACAGTGAATAAACATTCAGCATTTTTAGGATTAACCTTTACTGAACCAGTGTACAATGATATTAGTTTAATAAGATTGTACTGTTGTTTAACTTTCAACGAATTTGATTGTATTCGCAATAACCTAAAATAGTAAAAATGTTAACATTTTATCAAAAGCTTTTAAATTGTATTATAAAATCACCATTTTAAAAATATAATAGTATGTTTATGGGGTGTATTCAAAGCCGTTCTTAATACTAGACTTGTATCTAAATGGGAAGGTTTACAGTTCAAGCAGTCATCACTTTGGTTGTGTTTAATATTAATTTTTCTACTAGTTTTATATGCAACTATACATAATTCAATGACCCATAAAGCAGCAACACGAGAATTCTGAGTGACTAAACACTGTAGTACATTTGTTAAGAGACCTGAATTGGTCAAGATTTTCAACATTACACTCCAAAGTGCTTTATCCGCTTTAGAAATTCTACCTTTAAAGTAATAAAATAAAAAATTATAACAATATAATAGTAATATTAATATAAGGCCAATAAAAAATACCTTTAGAAATATTACACTCCTCAGATTGAAGTAAATACCGTGTAATGAACAAATTGACTAATTGTGAAGATGTATGTTTATTTGCTAAATATTCTTTTATTTTCTTTAGACATTCTTTATATGAAAATTCAGGCATATGTAACTTTTTTCTATACATTTCATAAAATGTAAATATTTTATTATATTTAAATTTCAAATCAGAACATTTTTAAACTTGTTTACCTAAGAGCATTTAAATGGTCTTCTTTGAGAGAAGTATTATTTTGTCTTTTATTTAACATATAAAACTCTATTGTGTCCATAAATACATCAACATCATTTATTTCTAATTTTGGTCCAACAATCAAGAAATTATCATCTACATTCCAATATTTTGTCTGAAATAACAATACAGAATTATAAATAGCTAGAAAGCATTGTAATATCATCTTACCTTTAACCAATCCAATGCAAACTCCATAGCTGTTCTCAATGATTTAAGAGTAGGTAAATCTCGGTCATGTGAAATTTTATGGCGCATGTCAATTAACCATGATGGAAGTTCTAAACGAGATGCTCTGAAATACATTGATTTCTGTGGGCCTTTTCCCAAAAAGTCAGCAGTCAAATTGACAAATCTTAGATAAGATAAATTTGTATATAAAATTTTGAAAATAATTATATAAGTATCTAATTGACCAACTTACTTCATTATTGCCATAGAATATAAACGAACTAAATCATTTACAATAATGATATCATCAACATCACAAAAATAACTATCTTTAGAGATAACTTGTAAAATCAATTCTGTGCAATATAATCCTCGAGATAATTGTCTTCCTCTACAGGAAAAAATGTATTTTGAAATAGCGATTACTTACAATAATAATTCTTTGTAATTACTGACCTAGTTTTCCAGAGTAATAATTTTCTCAGAGCTCGTTTGTAATTTCGTAATTCTTTACTGCCAAATATATCTTGTCTAATAGACTGCCATTCTGAACTACATTATACAGTAAAATATTTTCAGATTATTTACAGAATTAATTTTTACACCGGAACTCAAAATGATTATTCTAAGTAGATAGAATGGAGTTGTGTTCAATAGAATAAAAACATTTTAACTTAAACATTCTGTACTTTGGAAATTAATTGGAGCAGTTTACCCAAAAAATTAATACAAACCTCCAACTATGTGGTGTAAAGTACATGAGTGTTAAGTAAAAACTCTCAACAAAATGATAATGTAACTCATATTAACTTCACAATTAATCGATAAAACTTTCGTTGACATCAATGATAATAATTTTACATTCATATAAATATTTTCATAAAAAACTTACTCAGAAGACCATGGCATCACAATTATATCCTCCATTATGTTTAACACGGAAAAATTAAAATACTATTATCAATTTTAAACCGAATATATTTTCATCATATTACAAATGCAACAATTACATTCCAAACGAAATCTAATCGCGAACAGAGGCACAGTGTACTAACGCCATAAATAATCAAAAGCAATTGCACCAGCACGACGCACGTTGTCAATTGTCCGGCTGCCGTGTTATCACTATAATTTGTATTATGTATTATCTATGATTATCGCTTATCTGTTATTATTGTTATTAGCCTAGTTCACGGTTTTGTGTTATATTCTGTGGTGATATTATTTAACAATGATAACTGTTGATACCTAAAAGCATTGATTATAGAATAATCTATTTTATAATCAATGCTAAAAGCATAGGCGGATATCAGGGGGGGCTAGAGGGGGTTAGACCCCTAAGTATTTTAATAGCCCCCCCCAAAATCGAAACTTTGTTAGAAGTTTTATTCGTTGTTTTTATAATTTATTTATAAATTATCTGTTCATTTTTTTTTAAAAATCGTAAAATAAGAAATAATTAAAAACTATTAACAATATCAATTACATAGTTTGGCTACTTGCGAAAGAAGTTTTAGTGCAATGAAAAAAATAAAAACTTGATTAAGGACATTGTTGGTTCAAGATAGGTTCAGCAATCTTTCAATACTATATAATAGAAAATATATATCGAAAAATATAAAAAGCGATGATATTTTGAGTATCTTTGATAATACAAAGAGTTATTTGTCATTAAAATAAAATATTAATTATTTTTATATATACGTTATTTAGTGTTTTTTTTTTAATACAATTTAAATATATCTATATTTTTAATGGTAATAAGTTTTACTTGTGTATGGGAAGGGGGTGTGTGGGCGAAGCCCCTGTGGGTTATTTTATATTGAATTATTATAGCCCCTCCAAAAATTCAACCAAATGTCAGCCTATGCCTAAAAGCCTAGAACCCGTTTAGACTTAGAACTCGTGGCAGAATTAAGGAGGGGCCCGAGTACCTTTGGCTCCCCCATTTTCTTAAGTTAGATTTTATTAATTTTATAATAAATATAGGTTAGTAATTGTGTGAAGGCGTTAGAAACGAACAAAAAAATAATGATAAAATAAAAATAATGATTTGTTTACACACGAAGTCCAAAATCGGTGACAATCCCGGTTTTCCAGGATGTATGGGAACCCTAGATTATGGGTCCCTCCAAAAATTAAATCCTGAATCCTCACTGCCTCTAACTATACTAAATTTGATATTCAATGCTTATAATTATTCATAATCATTATACCAAGTATTATTTTTTGCTACAGTTATGTTATCATTATAATATTATTACATTATTTGTAATATATTATGTTTAGAATATATAATATTCTGTGTTAATGTTAATTATGGGAGTGATCGAATGATTTCAATAATCGAGATAGTTTAATCAAACGGATGCAATTTACTAAATATAGATTGAAAAGAAATTTAGTGGGTGCTCAGGCAACCCTCCCCCCCCTACAAAATATTGTGAATGGAGTTCTAAGAGTTGGGGAACTGTATTTTAACTGATATTGCTCAAATTAAATGTAATTTATCTAAAATATTTGGTAAAAAAAGTAAATGTTTTGTAATAGAAAAAATAAAATAATAAAAAATGAAAGCTACATTTATTTGATTAATTATGCATTATAATTTATTAAATATGCCTACACGTTTCGCTAAGATAGGGCCCAAAAGTTTTATAGGCACCCCCAGAGATACAGGTTTATATACACCTATGTTGTGTGCCACATTTATATAAAAATATTGGCAATCATCAACAAGAGTTTTTATCTCATCACAAAGGATGGTTAACATTTTATTCTATTTACCATCATATTTACATAGTGTCCTGTTATGTCAATTGAAATGATCAACATTTTAAAACTTATTACAATATTAAACACGGGTTACACATTTTCACTACTCAAATCATATTTCTGTGAATTATTCAATATTTTTCTTATTAAAACAATTAATTGTATTCATTTTTAAATGGTATAATTGTTACTTATAAAACAAATATTTTGTTTTAGGTCAAATTTTCAGTTTACTCTTACTATAAATCACATTATATAATGATTATTAATTAATTAACAAACAAATGAAAAACCAAAGTTAAAGAGTTTTGAGGGATGTATATTGGAAACATTAATTGTAAATGAAAAAAATTGAACACTTATTATTAAGTAGTCTTAGAACTTAATATCACTTTCTATTACATTAGTATTATACAACTAGATAAAAATGTATAATCTTACCTCTTACATTTTTTTTATTATGCTCCTACTAATAAGGAAACAAAAAATAATTTGAATACAGCTATTGCAGATTAACTATAACTCTTTAATCAGTGCTACTTTACTCTGATTTAACATAATATAGCTGGTAATTTTCATGTAAAAGTTCATTAATAAATTATTTTTACAAGTAAATAAACAAATATTTTTGTATTGATTAACCCACCATTTTCATAATAAATTAAATTAATAAAAAAATATAATATGATACACATTTCAATATTTTAATAACATAATAATAATAAAACAATAATCATTTACACAACTGTAATATATTATATTAATATAATTTTCAAAATATAACTATCAATCTCAAAATTTTTCCCAGTCAATAACAAAATAAAAACAATCAATTCTAAATAAACTATAAAATATTTAAACATAATATGGTTAAATTTTTAAATACATAACAAAATAGTTTTGGGTTGTAAATAAAATAATATAATTTTATGAAAATAGGGTATTGTATAAAAATATAATTAGGTATGTCTTTTCAAAGTATTCAATATTAGTTTATAAAAATCATATATTTGAATCTACTGTCATTATAAACATTTTTTTGAAATCACAGGTTATTATTAGCATTATATGCTTAATAATTACTTAAATATAAGTAATTTAAATATTAATTTAAAAATAGAAAAATAAGGGAGTTTTTATATGAGTGAAAGTAAAAATATATTACTTCTTTAAGAAATTATTATAAGCTCGTCTATGAATGTCAATAGGTATCCATTTTTTTTTTTTGGTATCAAGGAATGAATGATTTTAAAAGTTTGGTTTAATACCATTTTTTTTTTTTATACATATAAAAGTAAAAGAGCACCTCAGAAATATTTGGTCTATAACAAATCAGTTATCACGCTGAATATGTGGGTAATTTTTAAAATTCAAAAAATATTCAGTCTAAAATGATCACTATAGTATAAATAAAGAACAAAATTTAACTAATTATATAAAAACAACAAAGTATGTTAAATGACTAAATTCCTGATCTACTAATGATATTTAAATTATAAACATCAGTCTAAGATTTGCTTTTCTTGACACAATTCTTAATTTTATTTAAAAATAATTTCCAAAGGAATAACAAGTAGCAATAAAGAATTTAACGTTAGTATGAATGAACTACTGAATAGGCGAGGTGTTCTCTGACTAGAATTCAAGTTTCATTATTATTCTGTCAAATTTAAATAAATATATAAGTTAAAAACAATAAATGTAACAAATAAAATGTATAATTTAATATATATTTCTGAGGCACACTTAACATGTGAGAATTTAAACTTATTCTAGTCTATAATAAGTATATATTTTTGGTTAAATACTTCAAGATTCCTTGAAGAGAGAAAATTATTTCTTCGACTTGGTAATGGCATATCCATTACCCAGGTAACATGAACTTCCCTGTTTTGATGTGTGTACATCAAGATATGCCTGTCTTGAGAACACACGATGACATGATTGACATTGATATTTACTAATATGTACTTTATTATTGTGTCGCAATAATGATGTCTGGAACTTGAATGTTTTACTGCATGCTACACAGTAGAAAGTCTTGCGCTGACATTTGTCTGTTTCTACAATCAATGATTGTTCACAGTTTGGTGACTGGCCATTAGTAAAATCTGGTCGCCTGTGAGATACTTTAGCTCGTATCTAAAATATAAGCATAAATAGGTTATTGGTTTTGAAATTTTTTAACATTAATTAAATAATTTTAATCATTTGATAAATAAAGAACTTTTATTCAAGAAGTTTAAAGAATATATAATAAAAAGACCTAAAAATATGGAAAATCATTTAAATGAAAGAAATGTGGAAAGAAATAGTTCATTGAACAATAATTATAATTTAATAAATTATAGTTCTACTGTAAGACATATTTATTTAAGCCTCAATGATGAAAACAATTCAAATTACAAATCTAAATGTACTTCTATAACAATAGACTTTAGTGAAATATCACAAGATGTAAGTGAGGTATTATTTAAAAATTATTATACATATGAAGTTTCAGTTTTAGTCAAGAAAATATTAAATACAGATCCAAGCAATTCAAAAATGTGGCATGTATCTATCAAAAAAAAGGTGAATAGAACTAAATACTAATCATATTATTTTTATAATGAAAACATTAAACTAACATTTTTTTTAGAAATTGATGGATAATGCTCATACGGAATTTAAATCTCAAAACTATTTTAGTATTAAATCATCAGAAAGTACAATTGATTGGTCTGATTTATACAAAATAAAATTGATATTACGTCAACCATCACCTAACTGGAAACATTTTGGCATAGATGAGATAAAAATTGTTAGTGCAACTCAGAACAACCCATAAGATTTGATTAATTAATTGAAAATATAAAAGCATTAAATATGATCAACCTAATTGAAAGATGATTAATAAATTAATTGTACTATGAATGGAATATAGTTATTTAAAAAAAGTATAATAAATAAATTGCAAATTAAAATTGTTTTATGCTTTAATTATTATCATAATTATTTATTAAATCAAGGTTGAGTGTTATATACTAACCTTAGTCTTATGGATCATTTGTCGTGGGATATCAGGCATAAGTGGATGTGGTGGTAAATTCAATGGATCTATAATGGGTGGCTCCATTTGACGCCGCCTTTGATTCAAAAGTAATGGATGAATATCATAACCATTCAAGTGCGGATAAAACATGGACATTGCTGATGGTGTTTTTGGAAATGTAGATAAATCATATGATAATCCAGATGTAGATGGCGATGGATCTGAATCGGGATGTTCCAAATCCCCATCACAATAATCATCAATAGAGGTTGTACAATGAACGCTTAAACCTACTAAATATAAAACAATTAGGAAATATTTTTATAATTTTTCAATGGATTTATAATATACTTTAATTTTTAGCTCAGAGAATATAATATTATGTTAATTACGTTATCTAAAGGACACAATTAGATTCTCTGGGCAAATGTTAAAATAGCAAACTAACACCAATTATCGAGTATTTGATTCCCAGATATCATGTCAGCTTTTGACAAGACAGAAGAGGTGTTAGGTGAACGGTCCAGGTTTGAAGCCAATGTTTCTCCAAGATCAGTTTCATCGTCCATGCTGTACACGTTGATCATCAAACATCAAAAAATTGAGGGTGCCTAATACAAACAATAAGACAAAATAATTAACATTAAACTAAGTAAAAAACGAGCAAAAAATAAACCTGTCACTTGTGCTGCTGTTCCCGCCGTTTAACTGACACCTCAGGTGGCTGCTGTTGGGTCATTCGACTCTCGGAACACTCGATCTTCTCACTCAGATGTTCTTGCACTTACCGCAGTCGGATTTGACCATAATTTCCCTGTAGTTGTCTCCGTGCACAGCTCGATGACTATTATCAACCACTATTAGTGTGTATTACCGAAGTACGTAGTGCGTTCAAAATTATTCACTTGGAAATCAGCTGTGGATATGTGGATAGATTATTATCACGGGCAAACAAAAAATATACATGGCCACAGATAACGAAGGGAATTGATATTGTTTAAAAGAAGAAAATAAAATAAAATATTATATACAAATTTGAATATAAAATATTATTATTGTTCTTACAACATAACTATTATTAATGTATTTATTGTGAAAAGCATTGGATGAATCGCGTCGACACGTAATTAATCATTAGCACTGGCGACCAGGAGAAGTTTTGTCACGCACGAACGGTGCTCGGATAGTCGCCGTAACAATTATTATTACAATGTTTTTATTGTTATTATTATCGGAACGACGCAAAGAGCAATAAAAACATTTTAAGAACGCAAAATAAATTACCCATTTCGAGCCTCCTGTATCGAGGTTCAACAGTAGTTCGTAATCAGTAGAGTTGAGCTCATACCGCCAGCCTTGTTGATTTGCCTCTTTTTTTTTTTATATGCTAATTACAATTATCATGGCTTACTTCTGTGATAATAATCATAATCATAATATTAATAAATAATAAAATAATAATATTAATATTAATAACAATAATAATTATAATAATAATAATAATAATAATATTTTTATTTTGTCGGAGTGAATACACAACATAGGTGTAAGTGGTAGAAGGTTTAATGGATGTATACGAAACAAAATAACTCTGTTAATTATATTAGATAATATTACGGCGGCGTGAACGATGTCGTTATATATATTATGTACGTCAGCGGTGACATACTTCTTTCAGTTTGGCGGTTGTGTGTCCAACAGGGGTGTATTTAAATTTACTTCTAGGAGGGAGCGAATTCAATTTTTTTCTTTAATTCAGGCTCAAAATGTACAAGTAAAATTTTTGGTAATATTTAAGTCTTGTGAATCCTTAATATTTGTGTGTTTTTTTTTTTAATCTAATGATGAATCCATTTAGAATCGACTTTTGTGTAGTTCTTTTTTAACACCTGTCTATGTTTTGAAAATTACGCTTGTGTTTTATTTGATTTTTCACGAAGTACGGACCTGATAAAAAGCCCAATTATTCACATTATTTAAGTATTAACAGCCATGCATAATTTTATTTCATTATAAAATGATTCACATTAAAAAAATTTGAAATGTATATCTCACATATATTCGATTCTTTAAATACGGATTCAGGGGGGTGATCACCCCTTCGACCCCCTAAAATACGCCTCTGGTGTCCGACATCGAACCTTTTGCATTTATTTCGACTGCGTATTAAGTTGATAAACAAAATTAACTCGAGTCAGTCGAGTCGCCTATAGAGTAATTACTCCATGAGTCACCCTAGAAAATCTGTAGTTTGGGTGGTAAACAAAGTATAATTCATTCAATTATTCAACCTGGGATAATTTATGTGTAGTTGGCTGAATTTTTTTAATTTTTTTTTAATTTTGTAGTTGGCTAAATTATGGATATTATAGTAACCATTTCATAATTGTTAATAATTTTTTTTATTAATACTTCATTGCGTATACATATATTACAAAAAAATACAGGGGCGGACTGGGCCATTGTGCTACTGTGCATTTACACAGTGGGCCGGTGTCATATTATATTCATCGGGCCGGTACAAATAACCCAACGAGTATTGAATTAAAAATATTTTTAAAACAGATAATTGTATATTTGTATACAATTTTGATTCCCCGAGTATTACCATTGATTATATATTACTAGTAATATACTAGTAATATATAATCAATGGTATTACGTAATATGTTAATCTATTTATATATATATATATAAATAGACTAACATATTTTTAATTAACATATTTTATATGATATAAGTACATGATAAATCGCTGTGCTATCAGCGGTTGACTGCTGCTGGGGAATACCGGAAAACATATTCTTAAAATAGTTTATAGTTATTAGAATATTTAGTCTATAATAGCTTAGACAGTAGACACTATCGCTATGATAGTATGAATGCACGGTACGAATTGCTTTCTAATTCCCACGATTTTGATTGTGTCATGTACTCGCACATCTAAGCTCGTGTATGAAATTATTTGTTAATCTTATTCAGTGTAGAATTAAATATTTAAATACTGCTATTATTTAATACACAATAAATGATGGAAAAAAAAATTGAAAAGCTTCGTTCAAAAAAATGATCAATTTCAAAGCTGTTACTAATGATCCAAAACAAAAAAAAATTACATTTGGATCGGATCGGTCTAACAAAGTACCTATCGGTAAGTATAAAGAATTTAGTATACTATGGATACTTATTTCAAGGTACTGATTCATTAATTAAGTACGTTTATTATACATTACATCATATATTTTAATATTGAATTGCAGAGTAAATAATATCTAATAATCTATAATATTTAATAACCTGTAAATTAAAATGTTTAATGGGTTAACTGGATTCATTTTTCTTTCAATATAATTGGTATTTAATTACTCTTTAATATTAGTTGTATTCTCAATATTTAGATGATTGTGTAACACAACAAAAACAACAAAGTTGCTCAGTTGAAACTGAAGAAAACAATCCTTTGGTAAGTAATCTTTTTTAAATGATATATTTTCACTAGATAGGTATTCTTGTTAGGTAAGATCCACCCAATACTTATTATGTTGTTTTAAATTATTATTTATTAGTTAACATTTTTACTACCTATTTTAATAAAAAACATTTATTATGATTGTTTAGATGTATTCAACTGCTAAAGAACAAATTGAGCAAAGTAATGTATCTTGTTAGTTTTCGTTATTTTAGGTTAAGGAACATATTATTGCAGATAAAATATATTCATTTGTGATTCCCAAAAAAAAGTTCTATTAATAAAAAAAAATGGATTTTATGAAACAACACCCTTGTCAACCGACTGTAATGCATAATGTTTTATGGTTTCTTTTTAAACTTAATAATAGGGAGGGTCAGAGAGGTAAGACCGTTTTGCGAAAATGGTTGACATTACAATGTGAAAAATATAATGAGGTTAAAGCCTTGTATTGCAGTATATGTATTGCTTTCTCTACATCATCAATCATTTTTTCTACTGGCTGCACAGATTTCAGAAATATTTAAGCAGCTGTAGAATCTCATAAAATTAGCAATGTACATATTTGTGTTGTTGAAAGTTATGTCAAAGCTTCAAGTAATGATAGTATTGAATATTTGATCAACTGTAATGTGATGAATATGAAAAAAAAACAAGTCGAAGAAAGGATTCATGTATTAAAACAAGTATTTAAAATAATAAAATTGTTGGGCAAGCGAAAGTAGCCTTATCGTGGAATTGGTAACACAGAGTGGCTGTACAAGATGGATGATGTTAATAGAGGTAATTTTTTGGAACTATTGAAATTTACTGCTGAAAGAGATGCAATTTTAAGACAATATTTAAACAATGCTATATTGTCAAGCAAAAAACGAAAATTCAAAAGGAAGAGGATCATTAATTACACTTGTATCCAAAACTACTGTTAATAAAGTATTTGAAGGTACACTAGAAACTATGAAGAAACATATTTGTGAAGAAATGGGTGATCAGCATTTTAGTATACAAGTATGACAATTTTAAATCTACATATTTCTCATTTTTAATTAAAAATTCATGTTTTTACTATTTTAGTTTGATAGTACTCAAGATATTGGAGCTACAGATCAAGCTACTATCTGCCTTCGCTACTTAAATAATACAGATATTAAAGAGTGCCTATTTGCTGTCATTAAAGTAGAAGATTCAGCAGGTAAAAATTTATATGAACTATTATATAGGTATTGGAGTAAAAAAACTTAGAAAGCTACAAAAAATAAGGGAAACTAGGTAGTGGTCCAGAGAAAAAGCTCTTAAATGGGTTTTCGACAGAGAAGACTGTTTATACCCAACTATTGTTAGTGCTTTAGATTTTATTTGTTCATCAAAAAAATTTGATCAAAAATCCATATGTGAAGCAACTTTATTAAAAAATAAATTGTGTGAATTCCAAGTTATTTTTACAGCCCATTTATTTATTAAAATTTTTGATTCAGCTGGGCGTACATCAACATATTTGTAGTCCAATAATTTAGATCTTTTGGCTGGTTGGTTAATGGTAATAAATACAATTGATGAAATTGGAAAATAAATTTTGATACAGTTGTCGTTGAAGCAGAGAAATTCTCATAAAATATGAATGATAAATTTACAAATTTTTAATTGAATAATAGTATAATTGTAGAAGATAAATTACCATTAATACATTCTAGACATAAGAAACACAATTATGAAATGTGTTCAGATGAACCTATTATAAATCCTATTGATAAGTTTAGAGTACAAGTTTTTTAATGCACTATTGATCAATTAAGAAGCAGTTTTATTGAAAGAAGTAATAGAGAAATTATAGCAGATATTCAGTATTTATTACCAAAGAATTTTCAATATGCAAATGATAACAGTCTACCAGAATCATTAAAAATATTATCAATAAACGATTAAAAATTAGTGTCCGAATTGAATCATTTCTAAAAAATATATGACATATTACAAAGCCTCTGAGTTCAAATACTTCAAAAATGTATAATGATGATGATTATATGTTTCCAGATAACGAAGAATTTTTTCTAAACTGGGATATAAATGATAAAATGGAATCAGAAGTTAAAAGTAAAATATATTAATATATACTGTTTTTATATTTAGTTATTTATGTTTAGTAAAAAATATGTTTGTCTTTTTTTATATGGTGTGGAAAATCAAAAACTACCAATAATAATCATAATACAAAATCATGCTTAATATGTCTACAAAAATTAATATACCAATTAAATATGCATTCACTTGCATATTGTAATTTGTATGCTGCAGTTGAGTTTGTTTTAACAATCTGTTACACAGGATAATTGCGAAAGACCATTCAGCAAGCTTAAAATAATTAAAAATCATTTATGCTTTTCATTAAATTAAGATCATCTTGAAGCATTTATGCTAATGTCTATAGAAAAAGGTATATTAGACGCTATTGATTTCAAAGAAATACTAAAAATAGTAAAAAATTCTTCATCATTGATGAACCAGATGTTATCATTGTAAAAACCTTAGTGTATTCATATAATATTATTTATTTTAAATTTTATAATATCTATGTTATAATTATACGTAAATGTTATTTGTTAAAACATAGTTATTTTATTATTGTACTATTTATTATAGATGCTACAGATGTATTTTAAGTATGAACAGTTAAGGTATATATAATTTGTTAATTTGTTTAGAAGTAATTTTTTTTTTATTTATATAAATGATGTTTTAATACATATTATTAAACAGTGATTTAAAAACTCTTATTATAAATTATTTTTGGGAACATCAGTAAAAAAAAAAAATTAATTTTAAAATGTATATTACATTTTAAAGAAAATTAAACTTAAATCACAATATCCACATATTTTATTTAATTGATAAATTTAAAAACTAAAAAATATGAAGAGGTAAAATTTGTTTAAACTCTAAGTGTTAATGTATTGTAGGGGCTGATTTTTTGCAAAATAGTGGGCCAATTGGGTCCCAGTACGCCCCTGAAAAGATATATATTTTTACTTCTATTTCATTAGTCAAAACTCTTCAAAACTTTGTTATGATAACGTCATATTTAAACTTTGGTATCGGACTATATATATAATTAATTTTAAGTTTAAAACTTAAAAAGTTTAATTATCATTTAATCTTGATGGGACTAAGGAATAACACCTCTTAAGACTTAAGTAATTTTTATAATAAATTATATTCGCCTGATTTTAAATGTTTAATTACAAAATTGAAAATGCTGTAAATGGGCAATACATTTTTCACTAACTTCCACATTAATTATGTATATTATTGTATTGTAATCTTCATTTTTAAGCGTTAAAAATAAAAAAATAATTTATTTAACGAGTATTTTTTTCTATAATAATAATATTCGAACTATAAATACTTAACATAATTAAACAAATTATATAATAATGTAAAATAATAAAAAGACAAATGAAATTTCAAAATAAAATTTGGTTTTTATTCAAAGTTATGTCTACTGTGGATCATTTTATAATAAAATTTTTAATTATATAAATATCATCATTGGCTTCTTGTATTGAATTTTATTATATATTTTCTACTGAAAAGTAAAAAAATTGTTTAGTTTTTGGGTATAATTTCTTTTCTTAGGATATTTCTTAGACTCAATTAAACCTTTGACGAATATTTACCGCTCAAAAGAGTAATTCCAGAATTAAAATCAATGCATAATTCGTTTTGCTTAATATTAAAATAACATAATTAAATTAAAAAATAATATAATTTACCTGGTTTCTTTGAGTTATTTTATTAGTCCATGGACTCTAAAGCAATTAAGCATATGCATGTCTTAAAAAATTTTCTTATCTAAAACGTGATTAATAAATTAAGTCACTTTACAACCTTTAATTAGGCTCTCAAAAATAAAACAAATGTCATCATTTTAATTTTAAATAATTGTTTTGTACGCACATACTGTCGATTGTTGTAGTTAGAGATTTGTGATAAGTTAACAACCTTATAATTTTTGTACAAATATATCGCTCAATTTCAAATAAATAACCAACCAATCCAAATGCAGTCCTTAACTTAATATTTAGGAAACATTCTTGACAAGCGCCTCACGTGACCCCATCTAATTAAGTCCAAACGCAAATACGAGTAGGCAACACAATTATGTTTTCTTAGACCGCTTCTTAAATCTAAAATGCATCTCAAACATAAAATTATTATGTATTTACTAAGTCATAATTTGATTTATGTGGTCATATGGTATACAAATTTGAGGTCCTATAAAACCATATAATATGTCTAATCCAAACCTTCTAGTCTCAGACTTATAACTAGAGCCTCCTGATTTATTAAAAACGAATCTCTTCATCAAGACCTTAAAATAACCACCATCAAAGAATTGGCAAAAACACATTATAATCATTTTCATGCTAAATTAATAAGTTACTCGAATCTTCTCATCCGCAATATGTTCTCCTTATCTCTCCTCGAAAATGTTGATTGTCGTCTAAAAAGGAATTGGTCTAGGGATTTTATTGATATCTGAAAGTTAAATAATAATAAAAAAAAAATTCTGTGGTGTTGGTGAAAAATTTATTTTACAAATTAATAATTTTCTATAAAATATAAATATTTTTAACCTACTTATTTAACGTTTAAGTTAACAGATTTCTAGGATCTTTTAATAATAAAAATAATAAAATAATATATAATTTATTTTTTGTATTTAGTTTAATAACAAACAATAAGTAGGTAAAATAAACATAAATATCGAAGAAAAAAAAGATTTTTTTTGTTTTTTTAAAACAATAAAGTATACTTTTAATTTCTCATATCCATTTAGAATATTTTCTGAAAATGTTGATACGTGGAATTTGAATACTGAATTTGTAGTAATTATTATTTACAAGTACTTCAAATTGTGAATAGTGAATATTTTTGTGAGGTGTCCCCTGATACTATTTCGCTAAACACAATTTGAATACTTATAAATACATAATAATATATACTTTTATAGATAATATACAAGTTGAAAGAATTACATAGATGCCGGCACTACGATACATTTAAGTATAAAGTATATTCTAGATGAAAATTAGTTTTAATTTCGTGTACATTTGAACAAAGTAATTATTAATTCGTTTTAGTTTAATAATATTTTACATGCTTACAAATCACTGTACTATTCAAACAAAAATAATTTACAATTTTATAACTTGAAATAAAAAAATCAATAATATGTTAAGTTTATAGTATTTTTAGTAAACTTTTTACTCAATGTAAATCCTAAACAATAAAACTTAGGTACATACAACAGTTTTGTCTGTAGCCATATTTTCATGTTGTTACTTTTACACATATACTTATAATATCGGGTATACATTTTACATTTTAGAGAAAAGAAAAAAAAAATATATCAGTTCATAAATGTTTCATAATTGTTTTATAATGTTTTATAAATAATCCCAAATATACATTAATTAATTAAAATTAGCGTTGAGTTATTGAAAATTGCAGTACATAGTAGTGCATTGGTCGACATTTTTATGATTATTGTACATAGAAAACTGAAACTTCTCGATTTCGGATACATACAGTATACCTGAATACATCAATGAAAATCAATTTAGTATTGTTTAGAATTTTAAATAATTTATATGTATTTTATGGTACTTGATATTCAGGATTAACCATAATTGGTTGATGGTCGTACCCTTACCCGCAATGCTTCAGTAGCATTAGCGAGGAATAAAAGGTTTTTATAAAGCTATACCCCAAGATACCTCGATAATTTCAACTTTTGTAGGATTCCCTTTCTTGAAAATTTGAACAAATAACTGACGAAGACCATTCCTGTTATATTTGTTTGCTATTTCGTATATTTTTTATAATTTGGCGTAGGTAAATAATATTTTTTCCTGCAATTTTTATTTGTTCAGAATATATAATACTATCACATGGAGATTTATTGTTTTTTTAGTGATTTAATGATTATTTAAATTCTTCGATATTTGGTGCTAGAAATTCAGGTTCCGCTGTATGATATACTAATTATTCTTACTTTTCATTGTTGTTATTTTCGATGAGGTTATTTTTGTTATTTAGCAGTTCTTCAAAAAATTCTTGAAATTTGTTTACAATCTCATTAGGTTCTGATATTACATTACCACGTGCTTTGTATCCTTTTTTTAATAAACATGCACTTCTTTAAAAACAGTCTTGGTTCTTTTTTTATATAATTCGATATCTTCTATAACTTTTTTTCAATTGTGCGTTAGCTGTTGCTTAATCACTTTTTTTTGCTGAAGTTCTAAGTTTTGAGTATTCATTTATGTTTTCTTGTGCAAGATTTAGCATTATATTTTGTCCAGCTAAACTTCGTTTGTTAATCGTTACTTGGCACTCCAAGTTATACTAATGATTTTTGTTTTGTGTAATGTGCTTACCTCGTAATCATTCAGCGGCTTTTGTTATAGATTCTTTTGTTTTTGACTACAATTTTACGTTATCCGATTCATGTTCTGCAAGATTATATTTCCTTATATTTTCAAATATTTCTTTTTGGTATATATCTATCTCCTATGGATTCCTAACTTTTTCTATTTTAAATTTGTTATCTTTCGTGTATACCTCTTACTCCTCCATTTTACTAATAACTTTAAGATAAACTTGCAACAACTAAATAATCGTCTGTATCTCCATCAGCACCTCTGTAACTTCTAATGTTACGAATCGATGTGTTGTGCCTCTTGTCTGATGATTTGGTAAAGTTGAATTTTTGTTTTCCCATATGAAGTATACCATCTATGTTTATAAATGTTTTTTCTTGGGAAATAAGAGTTGCTAATCATGAGATCTTTCAAGGAACAAAAATCAACTATTTTGTGACCATTGTTATTTGTGGTAGTATGCCAGTTCTCTTTTACCGATTGTTTATCCAAAGGATATTTCTCTACCAACAAACATTTAAATTCCCAATAATTAACCTTATACAGTATTTAAGCAGTGCGTCAAAAGTTCTTTTTAAAGTATCATAGAAACAATTTTTTTCTCGTCGTTTGCATTTCAATCTACACTATATTAATAAATTCTATATCATCAAGTTCAATATTATTAAATCTTGTTTTATAGTGCAAGACAAGATTCGTATGTAACAGATGTGTTCATTCACTGGCATACATGCCTAAACTTGCTTCATAATTGCTTTATCAATCATAAAACCAACTCCTTTCTTGTGTCTACCTGTTTGCAGACCGCTATAGAATATTTAATTTTACCCAAAAACATAAAACAGCACAAGCATGGTTATATGAAAAATAGTTAAAATACAATCATTGAGTGCTAGGATATTTTATTGTAAGCTCCAGATTTTTTTTGCGGTTGGTAGCATAATTCGCAATTATATCGAGTTGTATTGTTGCAGTTAATACGAATGCAAGCAAAGGTTATTGGTTGGATGGTTTCTTTTTTAATTAACTTTTAAATATTTTTTTTTTTAACAACATGATCTGGAATCTAGATCTGACTGAGCTTTATTTTATAAAAATTATGTACAGTTGGATGGCAAAGGGGATTGTAATATACTTAATTGAGTCAGGTTGTCCGAGTGAGTCTTACTGCAACTGACTTAGACCCCGATTAATAACTGAACGACCGTAGAAGGAGCGATAAATGGAACCTTATTGTGGAGTCTGCCCTGGGTGGGTCTCACTACAACAGGATTGAACCTGATTAACAATTGAACGACTGTAGAAGGAGCGGTAAACGGGACCTTGTTACGTGAGTTTACCCTGACTGGGTCTCACTACAACAGTTTTGAACCCGATTAACAATTGAACGAATGTAGGAGTGGAAAACGGGACCTTATTGCGTGAGTCTGCCCTGGGTGGGTCTCACTACAACAGGTTTGAACCCGATTAACAATTGAACGAACGTAGGAGTGGAAAACGGGACCTTATTGCGTTAGTCTGCCCTGGGTGGGTCTCACTACAACAGGTTTGAACCCGATTAACAATTGAACGAACGCAGAAGGAGTGGAAAACGGGACCTTATTGCGTGAGTCTGCCCTGGGTGGGTCTCACTACAGCAGGTTTGAACCCGATTAACAATTGAACGAACGTAGAAGGAGTGGAAAACGGGACCTTATTGCGTGAGTCTGCCCTCGGTGGGTCTCACTATAACAGGTTTGAACCCGATTAATTACTGAACAACAGTAAGAGGCACGGTGAATTCGATCTTGTTATGTAAGTCTGCCCTGGGTGGGTTACTACAACGCAGGAAAGATAATGGTATTGTAGTCGGAGATGTTTGGTCGTTGATATGTCTTTTAAATCGGGAAAAATAGTATTGTGATGTAATGGAAGAGGACGCTCTTTAATTTCTGTTATCGCAAAAGCTGTAATTGAAACTTTCTTTTTATTTTTAAGCGTCTTTCGCAAAGTCAGAAACAGATCATTAAAAACCAGTGGAGAAAAACCAAGCAACGATACGTCTGTCACTGAGTACTTACTGGTTATGATTAAAAGGTATTTCTGCATAAGCTTACAAGTAAATAAATTATTATTTATTCAACAAAATTAGTTAGCTTCTAATTATATATATGTATATATTTATAAATTTTTCAGAATTATTATTTTCTGGTCATTACACTTGATAATTCTGATGTTAAAATGAAAACTTATCAGCGAAATTGTTTTAGTGGTGTGATTGAATTATTTTTGGATAAGTTTCATGTTAATTTTCTCTTTTTCTCAAGTCTATATTTGAAAAATTAAAAAAGTCAATATACGCATAGAAATACAAGGGTAAAATTAGTCTTCTTCTTCTTGAGTACTACCGGCCACTAGGACCATCCCGTCAAACAACCAATCCTCCAGGACACTGTCAGCTGCTTTTGTTTTCCAATCTGGGCCACCGTTCAACGATTTTACATCCCTCTTTACTACATCTTCCCATCTTAAACGTGGACTTCCATGAGGCTTTTTCCCTTCTGGGTTCTCTGTCAAAACTATTTGTAGTAGTGGGTTCTGACTACGCCATGTGTGACCCACTCATTGTGGACTCCTACTCTGGACTATATTTAATATATTTAGCTTCTGAAATTGTTGGATTCTTGTTCTTCTCCCGTTTCTATGTTAAGGCTAAATAATTCATCAGGTTCTTTACAGTTGAGTAGAGTATTAAAATAATCTCCCCACTTTTTTGGCTAATTCTTCATTCGTGGTTATCAATGATCCATTGTCATCTTTTAAGAATCTTTCCTTTTTCTTGTATCCACCTGTAAGATCATTTATGTTTTTGTACATATCTCTAGTACTGTGAGCTTTGTAGTCTTGTTCGGCATTATTCATTATATTTTGAACATATTTCCGCTTTTCACTTCTTAGGATGTAACTTCTTTCCCTTAAACGAGTTTTGTACCTTGTGAATAGTTCTTCGTTCCTCATATCGTTTAACCACTTTTATTTTGCAATCTTTCTTCTCTGTAAAGTTTCTTCGCAAATTCTGTTGATCCAAGGCTTAGGTTTTAGCTTTTTTGTTCTTAACTTCTTATTAGCTACATTACTTAAAACATCTCTAATTTGTTCCTAACGCTCATCCATATTTTCATCGACTATTATTTCTTTACTTTGTAGAACGTCCTTGATATTGTTTACAAAATGTTTGTCTATATCTTGATTTTCCAATTTGTCTATGTCTAGTCTCTTTAGTGGATTATGTTTATCAAGTTTTTTTAGTTTCACTCTATGCCTAGTAGTAAGTGATCAGATCCAATGTTTGCTCCACGCCTTGTTCTTATATTCAATATGCTATTTTTAAATCTGGAGTTTACTAGTACATAATCTATTTGGTTTTTATACTTCCCGTCTAGAGATCCCCGTGTATATTTGTGTATATCTTTCTTTGGTAACATAGTGCTTTTTATCACCAGACCATTTTCTATTTCAAAATCAATCAGTTTTACACCATTATCATTCGTACTTTCGTATAGGCTATGGTTTCCAACAACTTTTTTATAGCATATATCTCGGTCTAGCTTAGCGTTAAAATCGCCAAGTACTACCTTTATTATACCAGTTGAAGAAGCAAATACATCTGCTAGTGTCGCATAGAACAAATCCTTTTCGTCTTCATCCTTCTCTTCTGTTAGTGCGTGAGCATTTATCAAAATCATATCCAAATTTTTAGATTTTATTGTTATGGTCGAAATTCTTGGGTTTATATCTTTAAATTCTTTAGCTGTGTGGATTATTGATTCGTGTATTGCAAATCCTGTTCCTAATTTGTGAGGGTGTTCATATTTCCCATTAAAAATGGTTGTTTGGGATACTTTAGTTTTTCCAGTATCTTCCCATCTAATTTCTTGTAAGGCTACACATTTCATCCTATATTTTTCTACTTATGTTACTAAATCCAAAGTTGCTCCTGGTTTGTACAAAGTCCTTACGTTTCATGTACCACATAAAAATTCCGATTTCCAGTTTCCTTTCTTGTTTCCGTCAAATCTGTTCCAAGGCTTGTTGTTTGGGTCCTGAACATAACATTTTTTATATGGATGGGTTGTTAGCCCATCGCATAACCCCCAACCTGGAGGACCAGACTACTCCAATCAATTAAAAATTAGAGTAGGGCTATTGCAATGTACCTAAGTGCATTGGGCGATGGGGGCGCCACTTTCCCTACGCCGTCTAAAAATTAGTATTACTCACTAAAATATAATCATAATACAGTATATTATCAAGTATGAGTATAGTTCAATATTTCAATCAAAGTACATAAAAGATTAAGTATATTTTTTAAGATTGAAATTGTATAACCTAGAATTTCATTTTTGTGTGAATCAAAGATAATTCTCTGTGAACTAATTTATATCTTAAATATTAATATCGATCAGTATTTGAAAATGTTTGCATTGTAATTATTTTTATAATTTGAAGATGAATAAAAATTTAATTTATAAATACTAGGGTCTTTTATTTTACTTATAAACTATATATTATTAAAATAAAGTTATTATAATAGTTAAATGTTTATGTATAGAACCACTTATTTAGAACTATTTCCAATTTATGTAATTTATTATAAGTAACACTCATACATAAAGTGATGCAATACGTTGATCCAAGTATAATAATAATTATGATTTGCAAAAACATGTACACATAGCAAAACATATATTAAATTGTACTGATGTTCTGTTGATATTGTCTCCAATTAAGGCAAAAACGCCTATATGTAAGTTATTGTGTTTTATAATATATCCTAGAAATGAGTAATTTTATCGAGGTATCTATACTAAAAAAAAGAAGAATTATATAGAATACATTAACATTTTATTTATATTTTTGTATCTACTTGTATTTATCTATAAATCTTATATCTATATCGTTGTGTATATAAAATTATAGGAAATAACATTATTTAGGCACTAATACTATTCGATTTGCATTCTAAAATACAGCTCTTATTTTTTTTTCATAAAATCCTGTACTGCACATTGTAAATATTTGTTACAAAATATAAATATTTTTGGATTTTTTAATTTTTTTACAATTTTTAGAATAACTTATAAATATATATATACGAGGTGTGGCTAATAAATAACGATATTTTCTCTGTAAAAACTTTTTATTTATATTTTTTTATGGTTTAACATTTTTCCCCTTCTATATACTCCCCTCCATGTTTGACACATCGCTCCATTCTAATTTTCCATTGGTTGAAACAGTGTTGGAAATCCTTTTCTTGCAATGTCTTTAACACCTCTGTCGCTTTTGTTTTTTCAGCTTCAACTGACTCAAAATGTGTGCCCTCCAACGCATGTTTTAGTTTTGGAAAAAGCCAAAAGTCGCATGGAGCGAGATCTGGTGAATATGGGGGGGTGTTGAAGCACTGGAGTTCGATTTTTAGCTAGAAATTGCTTTACAGATAAGGCACTGTGAACCGGTGCATTGTCTCGATGACAAGATCCAAGAGTCATTTTCCCACAACTCAGGCCGCTTTCTTCTTACTCGTTCTCTGAGTGTTGTCAATACTTGAAGGTAATAATTTTGATTCACAGTTTGTCCTTGAGGTACCCATTCTGTCATTATTACACCCTTAATATTGAAAAATACGATCAACATGGCCTTCAGTTTTGACTTGCTCATTCGAGCTTTTTTCAATTTTGGTGATTCGGAAGTCTTCCAATGCATGGATTGTCTCTTAGTTTCGGGGTCATATTGGAAAATCTAAGTTTCATCGCATGTTATCACCTTTTTCAACAAATCTCGTTCATTTTCCATCCGTTCAAGAATATTAACGCAAATTTGTCGCCTACCGTCTTTCTGTTCTAGAGTGAGGTTTTTAGGCACCATTTTAGTGCAGACTTTTTTCATGTTTAATTCATCGTGCAAAATTTGTCTAACGGTCTCCTTGTCGATATTAACCATCTCAGCTATCATTCGAATACTCAGACGTCGATCTTTTCGCACAATTTCATTGATTTTTGAAATGTTATCGTTAGTTTTTGAGGAGCATGGACGGCCCACCCGTTGATTGCCTTCAATTTCTTCACTACCCTCACGAAATCGTTTGTACCACTCAAAAACACGTGGTCGTGATAGGACACTATCTCCATATACTTCAGTTAATAAATTAAAACTTTTGGTTGCAGATTTTCCAAGTTTCACTAAAAATTTTAAATTAATACGTTGTTCAATTTCTTCGTCCGGCATGATTTCGACATTCAACACGTAAGAGGTCAATTTAAACGACGCTTACACATTGACTACGAAATGGAGACTGACTAAACTGGTATTGTTCGATGCAGTGATATTCATAGATTACAAATATACTACCATTATACCCTTATCTACTCATGTCTTATCGCTAAGTAGATAGTCTCGTTATTTAATAGCCACACCTCGTATATATTAAAAATTTGACTTGAAGTACATACAAAGTAAGGAGTTTAAATTCAAGCAATTTTCATGGCTATTGACAATAATATAGTATTGTAAACATAGTTGATCGTTCTTCTTTGATCTGGAGTGGATTAAATTAGAAGGGAGAAAAATACAGAATGTTCAATTAAACATTACCAAATATTCCCCTGTATATTATATAATATATTATTTGTTGATTAGTATACTAAAAGTTATATAAATATTAATAGTATCCTATATAAATAAAAGTAATCTTAAATTTTAATATGATCAAAGTTATAAAACATTAAAATAAATATTCGTCATAAAATCTACGAATGCTTAATTGTAAATAGAATATCAAAAAACTTAAAGAAATATATGTTTATACTTTTATAAAATGAGAAAAAAATATCTTTGAAATAGTAAATGTTGACGTAAGAATTAAAAACAGGATAATAGTCACCAGTGTCATATTCTGAAATTACAGATTACCACCGTAATGGGTCAATACAAATTCGAATCATTCATTATTTATTTATTAGTTTAGACAAAAGTAAAATAGGTCGTACAAGCAACAACGTATTATTATAATATGCAATGAATATGCGTGATTAGTATTTAAATATAAATCATTGTTAAGACGTGAATAGGAAAGAAAATAAAAGTAGGTAGGTAGGTTGTGTAATAATTATCTATTCTACTGTTTTACACATGATTTTATCCAAGTTCATATTATGTACAAAATTGTACATGAATATGGATTTTTAAACTCAATCTGTTATTGGTGTTTATTTCCTTAATTATTTTCTAAAGTATAAAATTCTTAAATGAAACAACGTATTATTATAGTACCCGTGATTAGTATATACATATATTTAAATATAAATTATTTTTAAAACGAATAGGAAAGAAAATAAAAGTAGGTAGATTGTGTAATAATTATCTATTCTACTGTTTTACAGATGGTTTTATCCAAGTTCATATTATGTACAAAATTGTACATGAATATGGATTTTTAAACTCAATCTGTTATTGGTGTTTATTTCCTTAATTATTTTCTAAAGTCTAAAATTCCTAAATACTCTAAAAGAGAAACATTGTATTACAATATTTACCAATGTGCAGTTATATAAAATATTTATTTTTATTTTTTATTTTATTTTATTATCTTAGTTCTTCTTATACAAACATATTTATATAATACAAATAAGAGTAAAATTAATTGAAATTAAAAATTATACATTTCATTGCTGTCTTAAAGCAAGTAAATAGTATAAATATACATTTTTTTGTATATTTATCTTAAATATTAATGTTATTATTATGATGTTATCGTAGTGTATCTTACATAGGTAATTAATATTTAAATTATACATATTAAAATAGTAATTAGTAACATTCATTGAATGAATTACATCTATAAATAAAAAATGTATATCTATAAGTATAATTATTTACATTTTTAACTTAAATAATTTACATGGTTCACTAAAATATTTACTTAAACACTAAAATATAAGTACCTAATAAATAGACTAAGGTTTGAAGCATTGGATTGTAAGATAATCACATCCTTTTATTTTCCTTATATTATAATTTAGAATATTTTTTACGCTTTCTGTGTAGTTATATAGGTATACGAAACATTTAATCTAGTCATAACATTATTATTTCGAGATAAAATATACAATTAATAATATTGAATATACGAATTCCTTATTTAATTTTATGTATATACATTTAGTAATAATACATTTCATCATCATCATGATCTAAAGGCAACGCCTTGTCAAAATAGTCATGTTTGTCTGTCCTTTGCCGCTTCTTTTAATTGTTGGTAGGATACGCAACCCATCTTTTCTTTTATGTCATGAAAATAATTAGCTCTAGGTCTCCCTCTTGGTCTTCGTCCCATTATTCATCCTTCAAATATGTTATTAAGAAAATCATATATAGCTGAATAAGATGCCCAATCCATTTGATTTTACTCTCCATCATGTTTGTTAGAAGATTTATTTTTTCTCCTATTTCATTTAAAACGCTTTCGTTTGATTTTCGTTTCAATTGGTCTTTAACATCTTTCTCTACAGCCACATTTCTGTTGCTTGTAAGTAGTTCTTATCTTTTTGAGTAATTGTCCGTTTCTCACATCCATAACATAATATACTCCATACAAAAGTTTTAATACAATTTTTACGAGTTTCTAATTTGAGGTGACTGTTACTAAGTATATTAACTTTTTGAGGAAAGCTTGTTTGGCGAAAGATATCCTCTTCTTTATGTCAGCCGTTACTTAGTTTCTATTCGTAATAAAGCTTTCCAAATAACAAAACTCATTAACTTGTATAGAGTTGTTTCTTAATTTTATATTTATTTCATCGTTGTTATTGATCTTATTTATCAACATTGTTTTTGTTTTTTGTCCATTGATCTTCAGTTGATATTCATCAAATACATCCGCCAAGGTGTTGAGCAT